AAAATTTTCCGGATATTCATTCCGGAGTATCACGTGATCATCCGGAGCGCAACCTGGTACACATTTTCGGGTTGCTAATGAGTATTAACGTGAGTCATCCTGAATCATTCCTTTTTAAAGAGTATTACAAACTACGTCTTACAATGACACTGTATTATTACATTCTAGGAGGGTTAATCAGTTAATTCATCATGGTTCGTGATGATTGTTGTTGAAATGTTGTGTCGATTAAATCTAATCCATCAGTAAATTATAAAATATGTACGTACGTACGTACGTACGTACGCATGCATGCATGTATAAAAATCAGGTAAAATACTAGTTTACTATATCTCATTGATTGATACGTATGCATGAATACACAACGATAAGATAAATGCATAAAATAACCCCATTCTCCTCAAAAATCAATCTTGCCAACTTAAAAAATGCTTTTAAAAAATCTATTTTCGTTACTATGGCATTTTGCTATATTTATTACTTTTGTGATAAATCTTTCTCTTGGATCTGAAAATTTGATTAAACGTGACTTATCGCTAAACAGAGATAATATACCAAAGAATATACTAGTCACTTCTATGGTCGGAAGTAAGTTTATTATTCTTAATATTTGATATTAGTTTATTATTATAATTACTATTCATAATAATACTTATATTATAATTCATCATAATATTTATATTATAATTCATCATAATATTTATATTATAATTCATCATAATATTTATATTATAATAATTCATTTTAATAATTACAGAAACTCATCTTCGTCATATGTTAGAAATTTGCTTGATCTTAATGGATCGAGGATATAATGTAATTTATAATTTATTTATATTTATAATTTATTTATATTTATAATTTATTTATATTTATAATTTATTTATATTTATAATTTATTTATAATTTTCTCCCTCATTTTTTTTCATTTTTTCATTCTGTTAGGTAACATTAATAGCTCCAGGAAACTATACCGCGAAATCCATTTCTTATCGTTCAATTCCACAAATTATCCTTGATAATGATCCCCTTGGTCTCGACGATAAATTTTCAGAATTTACAAAGTCTGCCTTTGATGAAAATTATGTGAGAACATATTCCATTGCAAGAAAAGTTGCCGTTCAACATTACGTGCCTATTTATAATCTTTATGAAAAAATTGCCAAAGAGATCAACGTCGATTTATTTTTTTGTGATTATTTAATGAATCATCCGTGTTTTGATCTCGCTTGGAAATTGGGAAAACCCGCTGTTGGAAGTTCTACTGATCATTCTTATTGTAAGTGTTTATTGATACTCTTTATTTTGAAAAATTTTCTTTTATCCTATAAAAAAAATACGTCTGAACAATAATTTCGTTTTATTAGTACCTCAACCACCATATACAGCGGATCTTATATTCGGTTTCGGTTGTCATGCGAATATGGAAAATGAACCCTTCTATAACAGATTTGGATGTGCAATCATAGTACCTTTAATAAAGGCCTGGAAAATAAAGGATCATATAAAGGATATTAATGCTCAAAGAGCACTTGTAGGTGTAGATCCATATTGGGATGAAAGAGGACGTGTATTAAGTTTGTTAATGTTGGCCAATACTTTCTTTGGATATGAGGTAATTATATAATTAATTCTTGGTCTTTATTCAGAAATTAGTTCACTATACATAGTTTATTTCTAATAATATATATATATCACTTTTTTTAATTTAATTATTTTAATTTAATTATATACAGATACCAAGAGCTGACACACCGCTTCGTCAAGAAATTGGTCCTGTTCTACCTGACGTCTTTCCGGGTTTAACACCAGAATACGAGTCATTTCTTGCTACTCATCCTCGAACATTGTTCTTTGCACTTGGGACTAATGTAATAATATCTCCTCAAAATGTTATTACCCTTTTAAAATCTTTTCTTGAATTAATTAAACAAGATGTTATTGATGGTGTGGTATGGTCTACTGGAAAAACGGATGTCTCGGATTCTTTTCAATTAGCTAATTCTAGCTCCCTGATATTTGATACATTAAATAATGAACATCCTCACATTCATATCAGTAAATTTTCTCCTCAATTCGCTATATTATCTCATGAAAATACTAAAGTATTTTTAAGTCATGGTGGTGCGGCTAGTAATTATGAAGCTATGTATACTGCAACTCCAATTCTCGTACTTCCTATAATGGGTGATCAACCTAGAAATGCTGAAAAGTTAGAATTGGCTGGTATAGCTTTAAGAATTTCAAAGTTGAATTTAAAAGTTGATGATATAGTATCAAAAATTAAAAGATTATTAAATGAAGAAAGTTTTAAAAAGAATGTTGAAAGATTACAATTTTTGGCTAAAGTTAATAGTAAAAGAAAATATAGAGCTGCTGATTTAATTGAAATAGTATTGAATACGGTAAAATATGAAGGTGTTAAAGATGAAAATGGTAGATTTAAAATTAATAATGAAAATTTATTGAGAGATTGGATTACTCCTGATTCGAGAATGGGTTTTATTAAAGGGAATTATTTAGATGTTTATGCTGTTGCTATTCTTTTGTATTTGACGTTAAGTGGTGGTTTTGGTTATACTTTGTATAAAATTGCTAGATACTCTTATGCTAAATATAGGAGTAGAAATAGCAATTATCAAAGACATTTAAAGCAAAAAGGAGAGTAGTAAACAAAAAGGAAGTAGTTAGTTGAGCACACGTTAACAGTTATTATCTTTTAAAAGTTATTATCTCACATTTTATATATATATATATTTAAATAAAATCATTAGCTTTTTGCATTATTAAATGTCGCCCCAAATTTTACAAAAACATTCGTTTTTTATAAGTTTAGATTTTTATTTTGAAATGTAATCCGTGGATATCATGCGACATGTTAGCAATAATTTATTACAAATGCCAAAAATGCTGCAAAAGCTATTAGATTAGGAATTCTAATTTTATAGATATATTAGATATAGCATAATTAGTCGATATAATAGTCGGAATCATAATTCATATACATATTTTAGCCGTTTGTCTTTTTCATAACCACAAATAACTTAAACCCTCTTAACGCGTAATTTATATTTTACTTAAACACGGAAATTGTTACCAATCGACTAACACATCCGTCGCTAAGGCAAATTAGTTATAAGAGATGATAGTTCTGGTTTAACAGTATGCGCATTATCCTTATTTATTTGAATACTTGATTAAATCGAGTGATGCCAAAGGAAATCAAGCTTTCAAGTTTATGATTTATTGGCTACCGGATTCAGCTCTGAAGGCAACACTTTCTGACACGTAGTTAAATTTATTTACATGCTATACATCTCTGATCAGGTTGAGTCTAATAAATAATAAATAATAGACTTGAAAGCTCGAGATCTGGTTTTTCCTTGGCGTCATCCAAATTCTGTAAATACTTCTTTTTAATACTTTAAGAATAATAATCATATAGTTAAAATATTCCAAAAATAAAAAATAAAAGACAAGCATTCAAAATGTTTTATAATTCGGCAGATTTGTGGAATTTGACTTTATTTAAAACTTAATGATTTTTAAAATTGACTCTTACTGATTCATAGTTATATAAATTCCGATACGTAATAATCAGAACAATGAATATAGATAGAGAATTTAAATAAAGGTCAAATTCCTCAAATCAGCCAAATTTAAAAACCCAAGTATTTTGCAATAGCTATAACTATAAAAAGATTTAAATGTTCAAGAATTCATGCTAAGTGCTTTTTCATTATGAAGTAAGTAAAATTTTAGATGATTTGACAATAAATAAAATTCGTTACTAAATTATTTGTTACTTACACTTTAAACCATTAGCTCGTAAGTGAAGTTATAAAAATGTCTACACATCGTCGTAAATAGTATTCTTTTCATTTACACGTTAAACTATCATAAGGTAAGTGAAGCTTAATTATAAAAAGAACCATATATATAATTGTTAGTAATGGATATATAAAAACTTCCAAAATCGACTAAGGATTGGAATCGGTCAAAAATTTTTAGCGATTAGTTAGTGACTAAAATTGTTGGTTATTGACTAGTTGACTTGTTAACTAGTTACTTAATTAACTAATCTGCTATCCATTCAATTAAAGCAAATTATAATTGAATGTAAAATCGTAATTATTAGTTGACTAATTAAATAGTAATTATGTGAAGTCGATTATTCAACTAGTTAATTATTGTCACGGATTATCGTGAAATCGGATTATCGTGAAATTTGGATCTATTTTATGTACGATTTTAAAAAATTTTTAGGGCCTTTTTTGTAGGCTTTTTTTTTATAGTTAAGTTAGGATTTAGGGTTAGAATTATTAA